TTCCACTCACCATCTCAGGGTTCAATTACATCTGAACAACAAGTTATAGTGAAATTACTGACACATTATTTATCAAACAGTTCTCACATTGACCTAAACAATGCCAAGGATCAGAGTAAATCTTGGAGACTACAAGTCTTATCTTATGTGCTACTGCTACATTGACACCATCCTCAAAATTCCACTTAAGACCCCTTCTGTCAAAATTGTGAAACTGTAAATAAGTGAAAGCCAAAGAGATCGAACACCATATTCTCGAATGCCTACTTAATCCAGGCCACCAATACACGAAAATTTGACTTAGTTTAGGCCATAAAACCACTAATCTCAAGTGTGCTAGTATTTTTTAGCGAAACCCCATCGGTCAATTTCGCTGTAGGTTAATGCTGAGCTTCAATAATGGACTCAAATGAATTGGAAATAGGTGGTTGTGGACCCTTGATTATCTGATTATCATCATCAGGACCCGATCGATTGGAAGATAAGCATCAAGTCATCTCGAAATGAACTGTCAATTTGTCCTAGAATGTCAAAGTCTTGGGGAAATTTTTCTAATTGATTGGTTTTATTGTGCCATTAAAGTCCTAAACTTTCCCCTATTTCCACTTTTTTTTTTTTTTTATCAATTATTCAAGCTAGGCTGGTGATGGTGATGCAGTTAGAGCAACTATTTTCCTGCCAAAGCAATTTTAAATTTTATTCTAAATGATCATTCACTTTTTTTTTTTTTTTTGGGTTTAATGTCCCAAATCCCAATCCCTACTTTTACAGTTTTATTCCTCTTTCTACGTTGTTTTCTTCCGGTTTCTTTCTTCCTGTTCTTCTTCAGCCTTCCATTTCTCTCTCATGGGGTCTCTCTATGATGACTCCATCGACCAAGAATCCAAAATTCATCTCCACAGTCAATAATTCATTGATTTTCAGAAAATCAGAAGGGAAGGAAAGCAGGAAGAAATTAATCATGTCTATTTGTCTGTACGATAAATCATTTGTAGCCACAATAACAATGCCGTTGCCTGGAAGATCTTTATGGGTTTTCCTTCCCTAGTGGCAAGGCAATCCGGGGGGATCAACAATTGCAACGGAAATCAGCTAGATTGTTTGAGAAATAAGTTAACAAGAAGTTGAAATCTTGCAATTCTTTTCAATTTCAAGAAGAGGCGGCCCCATTTTCGAACTTCGATACTTTTTTTCTTATTTGTAATCAGACAATTGCAACCTTACCATTGTCTTGTGTTTGTGCATCAAAAATTTTGCAAAATATAGAGTACTACTATAAGTTTTTGCAGAGTGGCACAAAAGTTGAGGATTCTTTGGAATCAATCAAGTGTTAGATTTTGAAAATATGTGTTTTGCGTGAAGGGAAAAACTTTCAATCATCCAAATCCTAGATTTTGAAATTTGTAAAATTGCTTTGGCAGGAAAATAGTTGCTCTAACATCATCGCAAGCCTTCAAATTACATAGCGAAAATGACAAAAAAACTCTCTCTTATGGTAACTTTCCATTTCAAATTTTTACTAACAACATAAATTAAATTTACATTAGTGCTATAAATTCTTAAAAGTTTTGCACCTATACACTAAAAAAAAAAAATTAAGAAAGTGGAAGAGTTTATAATTATGTTTCCTCATGGGATTGTTTCCTATGTTTTTTTTTTTTGTCATCTGCAACGATAACTATCTAATCCACTTATATTCCTACTTTACGGAGAAAATATTTATATGAAAATTGAGGAGTGAATCACCGTATTAAATAAGTGCACTACTGCATTCTCTGAATTTTTTAAGAACAAAAAACAGTTTGCTTTGGTTTTTTGTGAGCCGATCAGGGTTTTTCCTGGCCATTGGACACATAATTGGACAAGTATTGGTCAAAGACAGCAGCGTGTTTGGCGTGAAATGTTATACAATCATTTCATTTTTTGATAAAAGTGGTAAAACACTACTTATGCATGGTTAAGTAAAATCATTAGGCGTGGTTTGCCATTTGTCACGTCTACAGTCTACATGGGCCTCCACTGTCACCCTCAAGTATATGTAACCCCTCGACATTCTCCATTGGGCCAATGTTGCAGGCTGGTCCACTAGTCAAACTGCATTGGTCTAGCAACGATTATTTTACCAGATCCCTTTTTTTTTTCTAAGCATTATTTTACCAGTTCCTAACCTCGTACTAGAAAATTATATTGAAGGAATTGACACATTCATGATTTCGAGCAGCTAATGTTGAATGATCTTGAACAAATCATACAACATGGGTAAAATATTAATTGTTGTTTGTTTAACCCTTTGACTAATTGGTAGCACTAATTGCTTGACAAGGTAATAGTACTTGGAATTGTTAATGGGTTAGATCAGTTCGATGCTGATCGGTTCGATTCGGACAAAAAAAAAATGCCACGCCTTGTGCATAGTTATTAAATCCGGATCAACTCGACAATTGAACTGGTCAAATTTGTGGACTCATAATGGAACCGGACCGGTTTAGCAATTGAATTGGAATTACAGATGATTCGCTTTAAACCATTTGACCCAAACGGTCAAACTGGTGAGCCGTTAAATCCGGTGATTTTTTATGAACTTGGTGGGTTTTGGAAATTTTTTCTAAAATTACTTTTTTACCTAATTTTTTAATTTGACTAGCCACACTAACATGGGCATTGTCGTCTTTTTGACAATTAGATGAGAAAATTGAAAAGAAATTTGGGAATTAAGGTTTCTTTCTTTATTTGACACTTGGATTTATCATTTATATTTGTGTATAATATCAATATGAATTTATGAACTAAGGAACACGTATGGGTATAACTTGTGTGTGTATGAACTATGAAATATGAATAAGTTATGACTTGTTAACATTTTAAGAATTTTTGTACTTATATTATAATTTATATATTTATTTAATTATATTATATATTTTTATTATATAGTATGACCCAACGGTTCAATCAGTGACACATCGGTTGAACCACTGACTCGTCAACTCTATCCTCCTACTAGGTTAATGCCCCGAGTTGGTTTTAATAAGGGAAAATAGTTCAAAACGTCCCTTACATTTTATAAAATGACTTTTTCGTCCCTCATTTTTAAAAATGTAATTTTACGTCACTTACAAATTCACATTAGTCAAATTTGATCCCTATGTAAGTTTCCGACTAATTTTTAGCCGGAATATATCACGTGCTTTGCATGTGATTATTTTTTAGGGGTAAAATTGTCAAATCAAAATTTACATAATCCATCTGTAGTCCCTTAAATTTCACAAAATGAATTGTTTTGTCTCTCATATTTCACAAAATAAAATTTTTCATCCCTCACAATTCACAAAATGAATTTTTTCATCTCTCATTGACTATATATATGAATAGTTTTTTTTAAAATTCATGTATATATCTACTTAATTTCACCAGAATAGTACGAATAGTATGTAATATATCTCTATTTGATTTCACATAAACAAACTAATTGTAGTTGTACATATGCTAATCAATAGATATATACATGGGTTTAAATCTAATAATTTTGTTTTAAACCCATATATATTTATATTTGATTTCACCATGTAAATTTATTCAATATTTGTAACCTTTTCTATTTTGGTAATAATTTATTTATTAAGTTGTGTAATAAGACCATCTAATTAATCAGTGTTAATTCGAATTCTATAGTTATGCTAACAAATTGCAATTTAAATATGAAATTTTTACTTGCTACTTTTAAGACCAACACTTGAATTTCTTACCTTATGATTATCTTAAAATTTGAAAGTATTAATCACTTACTTCATTTTGTCATACTTTTCCTTTGTTTATTTTCTATCCAAATTTAATTCGATATAAATGTTTGATAATGTTTAGAATTAAATATCTTCTTTGTTTTGAATTTTTGAGTAAAAGGAATGAACATGAGTAAAAAAACTAACAATTTTTTTTAAACCTCTGTATATATCTATTTTAATTTCACTTGAACAATACGTTCAGGTGAAATCAAATAGAAATATATTACATGATATTCATATTGTTCAGGTGAAATCAAATAGATATATATTAGTTTTAAAAAAAAAGTTATTCGTACACATGATCAATGAGGGACGGAAAAATTTATTTTGTAAAATATGAGGGATGAAAAAAATTTATTTTGTGAAATGTGAGGAACGAAACAATTCATTTTGTGAAATGTGAGGGTTAAAAAAATTCATTTTATAATATGTAAGGGACTATGGATCGGGTAATGTAAACTTTGATTTTGATAATTTTGCCTTTCAAAAATGATTACAAGTAAGACACGTGGTGGATTCCGACAAAAAATTAGTCAGAAATCTAGATAGGGACCAAATTTAACCAATATGAATTTGTAAGGGACGTAAAAGTACACTTTTAAAAGTGGGGAACGCAAAAAATTATTTTGCAAAATGTGAGGGACGTTTTGAATGATTTTTTTTTTAATAACTATCGACTTGTGTATAATTAGATTTGATAGAGTTTGAGCATAAATTCAAGATTCGATTTAAGCGTGAGTTAGGTCTGAATTTCATTAAACTCAACAACACACACACTATGAAAGTCTGTCACTAACAACACACACACACACACCAACGTGTATAGTTTAGTAGTTTCATATAATATAATTCATACTATTCATAATTTATATATAGTTGTAAGCTTAAAAATAATATCGTCTATATAATACATAATAATAATATAGTTGCTGTGTGAGTTTGGATCGAGCTCGAAATAAGTTCAAAATCTTAACACCTTTGTGAACCAATTATGAGTCTTATAAATATTAGTTCGAAATCAAAACTTCGAAGGTCCTAAGTTTTTTTTTTTTTGGCTACTTTGTGTGAGCCAAGCTTGGACAACCCACCCTTGTAACACTAAAAGTTAAAGCAGGAAATGGAGAGATTAGAATATTAGTACTAGTATGAAAGTAAGTAAAAGAGAAAAAGAAAAAAGCAGTAATAAAAGTTTAGAAAGGGAATTGCACAGCTGCAAAAGCCAGCGGTAGTAGAACTCGTATAGTATATGGAGTGGTATAGCATAGTATAGGCAGTAGCCCGGCCACGAAGAAACGGCCATATCCTGACTGTCCGTCAAAAATAACGTCCGGGAAACCGGTGAAGTGGTGTAGTCAGGAGGGAGCAGAGGTGGGTGTTGAGCTGGGTTCAGAGACTGAAACAGAGGGGCAAGTGGAAATCAGAGTTTGATTCCATTTCCAGTGTCCATATCGATGGATCCTCGTTTCCTTTATTTTCTCTCACATTGATGATTACTCCTGTTTGGTTATTGTCCTTTTCTCCTTCCTCTTCTGTTCACTTCTCTTGTCTTGTGTACTCTTCTTATCTGCCTTCTTTTCCCTGTTCCTGTCTACAATCTACACTAGTACCCTGTACCACTCCCCCTCGTGACGTCCGTCCATTAACAACATTCCCGTTATCAATCCCACTCCCATTAACTCCATTCCCATTCCATACATTACCAACAACAAATGGACTAAATCCCTCTCTCTTTCTTCTCTGTTTCTCCTCTTCGGAAAACAAACGCAAACACTTGCCTTTCATTGACTTCCGTGGCGTCTCGTAGCCGTTTCACACACAATACACGCTTAAGAAAACACAGTCGGACTCAGCCTACTCAGACTTGTTCATAAATCAGGTGATGTCTTGTGAGAATAAAGTAAAGATCATGTATCCATTGCTTTTGGTGTTTGGATTTCTTGCTCTTGCCTGTTCTGTCGTAGTAGAAATAGAATCAAGCACGTGTGATTGTGCATTATGATAATCTGATGATGGGTTTTAAATCAACAATCAACTCAGACCCCTTCTGTTTAGATTAAATCTTGGGAGTTGATCTCAACTTGGACTTTTTTAGATGATCTTGTTCTTCTTAGTTCATAAAGTTACACTAAGTTGCGAGAAAAGATATAGATGGGGATCAAGGGGTTTTGATTTCATTGATCAAGCTAAAGAATTCTACCTCAAACCATGTATGTTACCCCCTCAGGCACACGGCGGTATGTGAAACGAATCACACTTGGAAAAGTGTGGAGATCTAAGCTAGACTAGCAGTAGGAGGTGTAGGGGAAAAACTGATTTGCGTCGTGCAAGAAAGAGGGGATATTGGTCGCCTTGTCAGTTTGGATATCCTAAATCTGCTCTGCAGCAGCAGCCAGCAGGAGAAATAGGGAATGTTGGGGTTTGCGGCTTCCCTGTTAATGCACTGGCATTGTCCAAATGTGAATGCGTATTGTATGCCAAAACACCAGTCATTGTAGTGTATAATGCCCAGCAAACATTTGTCGTGACTGGAGTTTGGTCCAAGCAGGGCCCAAAAGATGTTTTCTTTTTCGCTTACAATCATCCCCTACAAAGTTTCCTTCTTTCTCATTAGTGATTAGACCCCATCCATGTCTCGCAACAAAAAATTACTTTTTCTTACCGTACACTAACTGCTTTAATTATTCACTTTGATCTGATTGTTTTCGTCTTCAATTCTACATTTGCCTAACCTCTAGTGCTCGTAGTGTTCTATCAAATTTATCCATTTGCGGGTCTTGCGTTACTTGCAATTAGAAATTGCGTAACTAAGGAAGTCATTCCATTTTCTGACGGTAATCTCATTTATTTGTTGCAGTGCATGCAGAAGCAAATTTGCTCTGTGTTTGATGTGGCTTTCTTTTTTGGTGAAGGAGGTAAATTTGATTCTTTTCTTGAAGCAGAGGAGGTTTGTCAACTTTTAACTGGCCAGTAACTAGTTGGTAACTAAGGAGCAGACTCTCGTTTTTATAAAGAATTAGACTACTTTCAAAATGCTTTCGTATGAGCAAGATCCTGATGTTGTTCGGTGGGGTCTTCAGCTATTTGACGGTGATCCATACTCTAACTGTGGCTATTGTAGCACTATCCCTCAAAATAACACAGGATGCTATGAAAATCACTATGGTTCAGTATTTAGTAACGTAGAGGAAAATGAGCTGGCTGCAAACTCACTTGAACAACAATTTTCTTATTTTACACTTACCGACCAGCCACAAGATTTCCTCCAAGGAGTGGAAAATGCACAGACATCTTGTTATCAACAACAGTGGTTCAATCAGTCTATGGAAAACTACCCATTCGGTAATGGAATTCACCAAGAATCAGTTATAGCTTTGATCACTTCATCTTCCTGCTGTATGTTATTCTGATCAATTCTTGCATTACTTTTGTTAGATGAGAATGGTAATGAAGAGGAAACAGACTTGGTAACTTCCAGTGCATATCCTACTCCTGGAGGAGAGTCATATTCTGGTGAATGGTCATACTCAACGGAACTCATGGATGAGAATGCTCTGGATGGTGAATTAGGCAGAAGGTTGAACCAAATGGTTCCAATTCCTGTAAGTGTAGCATCTGAATGGATATTCTCTTTATTACTAAAAACCTAGTAGAGTATACTTTGTCATTCATGCAACTGGAAATGCGTTTTGAAACTGTTCCTCACTTTTACAATCACATATTCTTTTTTAACTGATGTGCTTCCTAATTTTTCAATGTGGAACCAAGTTACAAGTAGCTGCACCTTTAATGTGGAGTTCTAAATGTCTATTTATCAAGGTCCTGATTTTGTGCAGCACATCCCTAGAATTAATGGAGATATACCATCTCTCGACGAAGCAACTTTAGATCATCAAAGGCTTCTGGAAAGGTATTTGTTTTTACTTTTGGGACACAGCCAAATAAAACAGGCATATGTTCAAAGATAGAGAACCAGTTTTATATATTAATATTAGCAATATTCAAGAAACCTGTCTCCTGGTCTCAATACTTGGCAGAACCTCTTGGGTTAACTGATACTACTGAACTCTTTCTGGGGAACGGTGATATACTTCAAGCAATGGCCTCCAGTGAGGATATGTGTTTTAGTGCCTATTATGTTTTACCAAGACCACATAGACTAATTTTTAGCTTTTGAGTACACATCAATTCATGTATTATTATTGAACTTGGTAAGTTTTACTTATAAGATTGCAGGTTTACCAGCTGGTAGAGTGTAAAATTCAAGGTGATGGTAATTGCCAGGTTAGTTCTCTTACTTCTTTGAAGCCTAGCAAAGGAATTTCATTTGGTACTGTGCATATAAGCAAATGAAACTGCAGAAAATAAACAACTATTTTGTGAAAGATAACAACCTTTAAAAGGAAAATAGTTGAAGAATTCTCTTTTCACTGATCCAATTTGTCACTGGTGAAGAGTCTTTGATGAAATTGACTATAAACAAAAGTCCAAGATGAAATCTCAAAAAGCTCCAAATTAAGCTTCATTGTAATATTCTGATTAGACATAACATTGACAAAAGCCAGTCATCAAATGTTGCTAAACACCTCGTACGAGGCCCTGTAACTAGATTAGCTGCAGTTGTCAACTGCCTGCTTGTTCGTTCTGATGCCTTCCGACTATCTTCTGGTATTTATAGCTTATGTTGAATTAGAAAAGTTTTTTCTGGGAACATTTTTTTGCACAGTGGATCTTTATCTCAAAACTCTTTGAAAGATACCATTCTTTTATTTATTGAAAGCTTTTTTGTTCACTTTTCTCTGTACTCTACTGAGTACATTATAAACTGCCTTACAATGACCTATAGACAGCTGATGGTTATCATTCTTTTTCCTTTTGCAAGTTTCGAGCTCTATCAGATCAATTTTACCGAACTCCTGAGCATCATGAGTTTGTGAGACAAGAAGTTGTGGACCAGGTTAGTGTACTGTTTACATAGTTCTTGAGGTCATCATATCACCTTGAAATTATGAATTTGTTCTTTTCTGATTGATTACGTATTCTTCGAAAATTACATTGAATAACCAGCTGAAGTCATGCCCAGAGACTTATGAAGGATATGTTCCTATGGCTTACGATGATTATTTGGAGAAGATGTCCAAGTACTCTTCTGACCTTGCATGTTAAATAATCTACTGCTGGATAGAATGTGACCAATCTTGTCTAACACTGGATATCTATATTAGGAATGGTGAGTGGGGTGATCATGTGACTTTACAAGCTGCTGCAGATTCGGTAATTCTTGCTTGATTTTCTGCCCCACAGACAACAGCAAAATACCTCATTGAAACTTTATGCTTCCACGTTGTTAGATATCAATGGGTCCACCAGTATAGAAATTATTTGTTGAAAGTTTGTTTTCTTTTCTCCAATCATATGTTGAAATGTTGGTGTTTGCTGTGTCCAGTTACTATGTCAACTTCAACAGCATTTAGAAACTCTTTCTAGTAAATGTTTTTTTGTCTTTGAAATTTTGCTTGGAGGATGCATTTTCAGGAGTTCTGTAGGGTTATGTTGCCATGCATGATGTACTTCTTCATGTATAAGATGTCTGACAACCTGAATTCTGTCCGTTTGCTAAAGGCCTTGCATGCCCAATTAACAACTGATCTTAATGTTGCTAAGTGTAATCACTTAGACCAAACACTTATGCGTTCTGATACGCGTTAATGATTTGCTGCAGTATGGTGTAAAAATATTTGTCATAACTTCGTTCAAGGACACCTGTTACATTGAGATACTACCCAGCATTCAAAAATCTGAACGAGGTATAGTACATGTTTCACTGAAGTCTTTATCTAGACTTATAAGCTGGGTGGTTAATTAATCGTTACTCTGTTTAAGCAGCTATCCATGTATATGTTATTGCCTTAGTTAGGCAACAGATGTCCGCTAGCTTTTTCCTGTGCTCAGCTTAGTTCTAAAACTTACTAAATTACCTCAATAGATGAATTGAGTTGTAAGCAAATGTTTCCTTTTAGTCTATTAATGAAGGAACATACTATTGATTGTAAAAATATGCCCTTATTTTGTAATTATTTGGACATGATACTGTAACTTCACCTTGTTTTTGGGATCCTTGATCTCATCTCTGAGCTTTAAGAGCATTTTTGTCTTTCAGTTATTGCACCATTGAGAAAAGTTGTTTTCATACACAATTCACTTGTCTTGGATATTTTGCTGGAAACTTCAGAGTCTGGACTTATACATGGTGCTCTACTTGCAGTTATATTCTTGAGCTTCTGGGCTGAGGTTCACTACAACTCGATATACCCTGAAGGAGGTACATCCTAGTTTTCTAGGTCAAAATTTCTCACCTCATATGATAGGGGTTATAAAGAATCCTCAACTGAATCACTTTTAGTAATCGAATCCTGTCAATGCTTTGGCATGGGCATATACTTCCCAGGAGTGAACAGAAGCAGAAAGATGCATCTTGCTCAAACTTATAAAAGCTTCTTTTCTAGGCACAAAAACTAGAAATAGACAAGTGCAAGGATTAGATGGATTCCACACTGACCTTAACTTTTCTTGTTCTTTCGGTTGTCATTTTTGTACTTCAGATTTAACCACATTTGGGACTAAGAGAAAGAAGAGGCGATCATTTCCTCGCCAGGAGCATTTCGAAACACCAGATGATTGCAGTTGAGAAAATATGGTAATAGAACTACTTGAAGCTATAGATTTCTAAATCCATTTTGCAGTTGAGGAATAATGTAAAAGGTTGATGCTTTTCCCTTCTTCCTTGTTCCCCTCAGATTCGAGATATAGCAGCTGTCTTGCACCTGCAAAACCTGCCGTGCTGCCATGCCGAACTCTTTATCATTGTCAATTCGTGCCAGACAAAGCAAGCATGATATCAATTGTATCGATTCATAAATGTAAAGATTTCTGTTCTTTGCAACACTGGTGCGCCAATAATGTTTCCCATGTGAACAGGCACGTCTTCTTGATAATTGGCAGAATGTTGTCTTCATCTAATCTCAATTTTGTTAATATGGATAGAATCCTGTATTCCTGTTCTTCATACTGGATGCTTTGTTGCGCAATATTTTCAGGTTCAGTTTAACAACAATATTTCAGGGCTTCTAGTTTAGACTTCAGATACCTTGTTCTTTTCTTTCAAATTGCGTAAGCACTAAAAATTACAGGTAACTAATATGGTCAGACAGCTCAATCCTCGTCCTGACCTTTGCAATCTTGGGCTTTGTTTGGGAATTATATACTAGCTTACAAGCTTGGGTATAAAGTGTGAACGAATGTTGGCCAAGTACAATAAGCACACAGGAAAACAAAAACAATTTCGAGTTTGTCCTAAGTTTTCTTGATTTCCCATCCATGGATAACAGATTTTATAAAATTGATTTGTTATTTGTTTCAAAAAATTACAACAGAAGCAGAATTTTCTGTGTGAAAACATATGATTCCTGCCTGCATAAATAGAGTTTGGCTTAAAAAAAGGGTTTTAAAATTAGAAGTGTTTAAATGAAAGTTAAAACAATGTGCCATCACAAGTGAAAAAAGAAAAAACTCTTGTCTCCAAAATCCAGCTCATTTGATAAAGATATTAGTTAGGTAATCGTGAAGTCCCTAATTACTTACTTATGATAAAGATATTAATTAATCAGGTAATTAAGAAGGCTCTAATTACTTAAGATTATAGCCTCGACGACTTAGAATAGTGGGTGATTATAAGGTCTCGAAATAGATAAAATTTCTCTTTAATTAGGTGATTATGAGATCCTAATTTGACTTTCAAGCCAAGTTTGAAGCCATCTCATCCCTCTATCAAAGGTAAGTTTGAAGAAATAGGTACTTTTATCTTAAGTTTTCTTGTTTTGGTAAGTCTCCTTTTTATTTGCCAAAAAAACTCCTTTTTATTTTTCTCACAAGTCACAACACTACTTTTTTTTTATTGTTTTGATAAAACTCCTTCTTATTTGACCCAAAAAAAAAAACTCCTTATTTTTCTCATAAGTCACAACCTAGAAAACATTGGAGAAGAAAAAATTAATACTCCACTAAAACACACACACAGGAGTTGTTAGTTAAAATAGAAACATTAAACATGCAAATGCAAAACAACGTAAAAACGCACAACCTGGGACTCAATCAAACGCTTGGTTCTGTTTCTCTTCTCCACTAGGGTTTTCACTCGTCGTCTGCTAAGGTCAGCCTTCTCTCTGTGTATCTCCATCAATTTTGTACTATAATTTAAGTGAAAAATTCTCGTTTTTGTTAGGTGAAGAATATTACATTTTCGCCTGATTAAACCATCTGGACCCCTAAATTGTGAATTATGTTGTTTCAATTGATAAATCCTTTTAATGCATCAATTACACATCAATTTTGCTTGTTCTTTAACTATATTCAGAAAATCTCATCTGGGAGTGTGTATGAAGGAAAGTAAGTTGGAAAATAGGATGAGAACATTAGGTACTAGAAGTATGGTTAGAGGGAAATTAAATCTGACTTTTGTTATTAAGAAATTTTAGAAAGAAATTAGAAGGATTATTGCTCACATCTAACATTATTTTGCGCAAGAATTATAGTTTCAAACTTTAACGATTGCTTTGTTTGGGAACGAAAAACGTTAGCTTCTACTTGAATTGCTGCACTAAAAGATGGTGGAAATTACATGAGCCTAGTCCGATGTCTTTTTCACAATTTTGGTACTTCTCCATGCTGGGCTTTTTGGTGAAAATTTCTTGTATACAAATTCCTCCCCCGGGTCCCCTGTTTTTTCCCATTTCTGCAAAAATACTTGTTAGAAAAAGATTCACTTTTTTCTTCTTCTCTTTGTTTCCTTTCCTGTAAAAAGTCCCAAACGGAGCGAAGTATGATTTTTTTTAGTGTTTTTTCTTTGCTTCCAATTTTTTCAACTCTCGCAGCTACTTTAAAGGCCAGAGAATTGCATGTTTGATTACCATCCTGAGAACTGTGGCCAAATTATAAATTGTGTGAAAGGCTAAATTAGGAACGAAGATTTTAAACAATATATGTAATGCCAGTTTTTATATGTCATGATGATGAAGTATCGTTTTATGTTCCTGCAATCAGTAAAATCATAAAGCAGTAATTGGTTTTTGTGAAGAGGTTGGGTGATTGGAGTGGAGAAGAAGCTATTACCTCCTGTGTGTAACCTCCTCACAGAATGCTGCAACCTAACTAACTCTCATTGATGTCACCTATCTTTTTTTTTTCCTTATATATATATGTGTGTGTGTGTGTGTGCGCGCGCGGGCGAAGTGTTGCATTGATGTTAATCCATGTTACTCTTTAGTTTATATTTCTCATAGGCAAATCTGATGGTTTGTTGAGAAGTAAATGTTTCCCCCTTGCTAGATATACGTGTGTTAAGAACTTGTGACTTTGAATGAAATGTCTCCTTGTTTAAGTTGAAGCAATGGGCGTACTGTTTAGACAAGATTTTTGTTCTTTTCCTTAGAAATGGCTATCACAGTGGACCAAGGTGAAGAACTTGAGTCTGGACCAGCTGATTGGACAGATTCAGAAGAGACAATTTTAATTCACTTAATGCTGAAAGAGATACAGAAAGGAAATAAACCTTTCACTACTTTTACAAAGACAGGCTGGAATAATATTGAAGCTGGGTTTAAAGAGAAGACTGGCAAGAGATACAGCCATCCACAGTTTAGAAATAAGTTCAATCAGATGAGGATACGCTATTTTGATTTCTGTATGCTGTCAAAAGAACCTGGTTTCACTTTGGACCCTGTGCTGGGTAAGCTGGATGCAACTGATGATGTCTGGAAATCAGCCATCAAGGTTAGTGCTGATATGGATGTACAAAGCATGACTATTTTCTTTTGAAATTTCTGAATATATGACATGTTGAACTGCTTTCGTTTTAGGCAAACAAGAAGACAAAGAGATTCAGGAGAAGAGGGTGCCCTCTGTACAATGAGTTGGGGGTTATTTATGGTGAACCAGTGGGAAAGTCCACAAATGTTTCTCAGGTAGCTCAATGCTCTCTGGATACGGATGTTAAGTGTTTAGAAGATCAATCAACTAATGCTAGTCCATCGGAATCAGTTCGTGGAAGTAGTGACAACGAAGATTATCCTTCAAGAAGTGTCAGGCAACGTTGTCAAAAGTTGCCCTCCTTGAGGAATGAAGTACAAGAGGTGAAGGATTTGAGGCCGATTGTTGATGGCGGAGCTTTAGAGTCCACTCAAATTATAGTTCCTAGCAGTACAGCCAATAAGAAACATACTGACGTTGCCTACCTGCAGACACCCGCCACGAACCATGTCGGAACACTTCAATCTAGCAGCCCCTTTTCAATCACGAATTGTGTGAAGTGCCTGGAGTCCATCCAAGGGATTGATGCTACCACTTACCTGAAGGCAATCAAAATGTTCAAAGATGTTGATTGGAGGGAGATGTTCATGGCTATGTCAGGCGAAAGAAGACTCGATTGGTTGGCAAGCTTGGATTGAACTTGGTAGCAGTTGAATTTGTGTAGTTATCTAGTTACTGTACTTATGTGATCGCACTAAATCTGGACTAATGGGTGCGGTGCGGTGCGGTGTTTACCTTTGTGCATAATGTTAGATATTACCATAAAAAGATTTGATGCATAAGCTCTCAATGTGTAGTTGGTTTTTTCCGAGTTCAAAGCAAGAGCACCAAGCTATTCAGTACTTTATCAAAGCTCAGAACTCGAATTTTATTTGTCAACTAATCAAACCAATCCCTGACAAAAGATAATAATATGTTTAACAATGAGTATATTTAGTTAGTAGTTTCATAAATAAAATTAACGGACTATGAGAAGATGCATTAATATAATAATGAATTTTGAAGAGGAATGACCGAGCATCCGCAATTATCTAGTCATTAATTATCTTGATCTGTTGTACTTGAAGCCAATTTGTGGCTGTTTTGATACAAGGCTACATAAAATTTGCCTTCCTAGGGGGAAGGTGCCTGAGCTGTTTTTGGTTTTTATCAAACTATCTCGCTCATTCCAATCATTTGGTTCGGTAATTTTGATAATAGATTTTTCTCTAAGATCTTCATGCTTCATAGAGTTAGACATTAATGTAAAGGAATAATTTCAGAAACCTCCCTTAAAATTTCTAACAATTACACAAACCTCCCTTGAAGTTAAGATTTTGATAACAAAAAGTAGTCCAATTAGAAAAAGCTAAATATAATTAGAGAGTTGTCGACAAGAGATTCGAGGGCTCCTACTTTCCGCTGCCTACATTGAGAGTTTTCGATGCTAAAATTAATTCGTGGATAACAAAAGCTAAATATAAGAGAAAAATGAGTAGTAAGAGGCAAGAAATACCTAATTCAGAATTGCTAATTTGCCATCAAATCACGCTTCTAATAAGAGCAACTCCAAAGTCCTACCATTAATAGCAAAAGGGATAGCACATAACGCTGTGGTCCCCAGGAGTGAGTATCTAGTTTTGTACTTACGTCACGGGCGCCCCATTAGTCAAAGTCCGGTCAACACAAGGGAAGGGCGTCAGCGTCAGTCTAAATAAAAATCCAAAAAATTTCCAACAAAACAAACGAACCTGGTACCGCTCCATAATTTTAATTTTTAGGGATTGAAAACATCGTTCACTTCGCCTCCTCTTTTCGCTGCTTGCATCAATAGCGATGTAAACGACATCGTGTCAAACAGTCCCTCTCCCTCCGCCGGAAATATCTCATAGGGTTCCTGCTTCGGGAATTGAGACCAGGCAGTGGTCGGAGAACTGTTAGAGGCAACGACGGTGGAGGAGGTTTCCGAGGCGGACGGAAGGTGAACATTTCGAAGCAGCCACTCCACCGTCTGGCCGTTTGTGCGGTGGCCGAGCTCGCGAGTGAGCTGGAAGATACGGGCGGCGCAGAGAGCTGGCAGCCGCACACGGTGGCCACCTCTGGTGGCTTTCAGCTTGTTTTTACTACGGCCGTCGCCTTTTCCATGCTCGTTGTTGCTGTTAGTTCTTCTTCTCCTGTTCTGCTCGGAGGAACGGAATGGTGAGCTGGAAGCGAGTTGAATCGAGTGAGTTTTGGTGAGTTGGCCCTCCTGAGTTGAAAATGAGGGTGGGG